CATACAAGTAATAATATACGGCAAAGACGTTTTAAAATCAGGACATGCCAAATAGATTGAAAGTCGTTTAAGCCAGACAATTGGTATGCGGTTAAGATTTTTATTCCACGTATATGGCTGCGTCTCAATCACATGGTACGTTTAACTCAAAGTGGAAACACAACTACCAGATCGAGTTAATAACTCATTATTGATATTGACGGAATTGGCCTTATGTCTGGTTCAAAGTATATGCAGTTTAACGAACTGATTTGCTAGCTTCTACAAGGCATAAAGCGGCAGTATCTGTGAAAGTTGACCGCCAAACGTCTCCTATATGTATAAGTATTGAGTGAAAACAATCTTGTAGTAGAAATATAATGCAATTTGGGAGATAAAGTGCAATTGGGAAAAGCTGAGTGATCAAAGGGGCACAGATATCTAAAAACTCCGAGAGGGATCTGATGTTCTTCGAATTGGAATTCTAACCCATATATTTTCGTATCCAATACCCAACCGAATTTGTTTGATACTTCAGATTTCAGTGAAGATTTTGTGAACAAGAGCTATGACTGGGACGCAGCAATGCAAAGAGCATCGGGAGAAAAAACTGCCACATTTTCCAAGGTAAGCTGTGTTAACAGCGAAAACAAAATGCTGGAAAATTAAACGGAATATACGGAACTTAATGAAACCCCCCAATTCAGCATCGACCACTACTACTAAATATATGACGTCACCCAACCCAGGAATTCTTTCAAAAATTCTATTTTCCACCGTCCAACTTTGTAATGACTGCAAAAAGTAATCCGTGCGAGCGATCATGGGCTTTAATATTTTTTCATATGTCTTCAGATGATCGCTGTAGGAAGAGTTTTTATTATCGACTACAAATTGCTTCATAATCTTAGCAACGTGGAGGATTACACTGAACGGAATACTACAGACAGGCGAAAAATGGAAAAGTCACGAAGTCCATTCTGTACATTTGTTGTAACAAACGTAAGAGGTGCTAAAGAATTAAAACCTGTTGCAATTCAAACAGATTTAATTCAAGGTGAGCTTTTGTCCAAGTTTAATATTAATTGTCCTGGTGTAGTAGTGTGAAGACACATTTCGCCTTCACAGAAGGGAAAGGGGTGAAACATTGTTTTGTTTTGAAAACCGCAACTTGGTCTGGAATATTGGATTTATTCTCATGCAAAGTTGCAAACAAATTTGAAAATAGGCAACTGATATGACGACTACGAGTCGAAAGAACTAAAAATTCCTGTGGGACTTCATTTTCCCCAGCATTGGTTGCAACAGCACTTTGAACAGAACTTTAGTCAAGCAATGCGAATTTCGGATTTCGAGAAATTCATATATGATATTAACAGAAACTTGTTTTTAATTTTCGTCACTCATTTCAGGTGCACCAGTGTTTTCTCCTGTTGACGGCCTAAAATGGTTGAAAGCAAAGCAAGAAATTCAACGTGCGGATTTGTTTTATGTTGAACTGGTAGAGCATTTGTTAAAGACACATCTTCTCATGGAACCAATCTGCGTCATCATGCGTCGTACTTTGTCAGTATATCATCCTCTTCATCAGATACTCAGATGGCATTGTAGAGGCCTGTTTGTCGTTAACAGTATTGGAATGAAGGCACTTCTAGGCGTAGGAGAATTTTTAGATAAGTTGTTCGCCTTTGGTCACACTGGTAGCCTGGAGCTTCTCAAGAGAGCCTATCCCGACCTGTCGTGGGCAGATACCGAGTTTAATGAAAACCTAAAGGTAATATGATATCATGTATAGAAGCAATTAGCAAAATATTGATGTTACTGATATTAGAAAATTAAATAAAAATATTCAATTTTGATTTGCAATGCCAATTCAATGTTAGCTTATTTTTAAGTATAACTCAACATCTAAAAATGTTTTTTAGAGACGTGGAGTTCACAAAGCGGAAGACTTACCATATTTCCCCTACAGAGACGATGGTTTACTTATCTGGAAAAATGTTGGTGATTTTGCGAGGGATTATGTGAAATTGTAAGCAATGCGTGACTCGTTTCTTCTGTTTTGATAGTGGTGAAAATTTATCTTCTTTAGTAGTTGGGCATGAATCCTTAATTTTTTACAAACCCAAATTTAGCATTTTTTTCAAAGAAATTATAAAATTCCATAAGGGTGAGAGACACGACGCACGTTGTTGAAATTTCCACCACTGTTAAATTTTAGTAATACTCGTGTCATTTCCAGAGCCTATTTAAGCGTGCAATATAGTAATATACTTCTTGCATGGTTGGATAAAAAAGATTCAATTGAAAACTGGATATTACTAAAAGTTTTGAAATTGTCAAATTGTCAGTCTTCTCTCCGTATTACAGGTCTAAGTGCCCTAACGTCTATAACAAAGGCGTCGGTCATTGCGATACAGGATAATGCTTAAGGCTGAGTGAGGGTGGGCATGTTAAAAATTGGGCTATTTAGATCTAGAACTACTTAGATCGCACCCCCTGAATATACCACCAGTCCGAACGGGCTAGCAATCCGATTATTTAGCACTCTTATCTGGTCCAAGATTAAGACAAATGTATCCTTGTTCTTATAGATACTATTTAAATGATAAGGACGTTAAAAACAATTATGAGCTGAAATATTTTGCCAACCAACTATCAGCAGATGGCACAGGAAAAAAAGGCGGAATTGGAATGGTAAGATATGCATGCAACAACCAGTAGTAGTAGTAATCGCTATACTAAGTTAAGTTGAGTGGCCAACCACGAAAATGGAAGTGAAGAAGTATACACTTTACACCCCTACCTTTACTTGCATTTTTGAGCTCCCAAGATTTGATTGCCTACAACTTCAGCATGATTTTCGTTTTTTTTTCAGAAAAAAGGGAATTTTACCAGGGGTCCAAAATCCTTCACTGGGGGCTAAAATAGACGCTATGCATGTGTGAAGTTTCAGCATCAAATTTTGAAATCTCGCCAAGAAAATACGCAAGCAAACTAGTTTACCGTTTATTGTTTAATAAAAAATAATCATCAAACAATGATTTTGCCACCCCAATATGAAGGATTTTAAGGCCTGGTTGCATATTGTGAGAAAGGTTAATTTTTACGTATTGCACAGTTTATTTGTAATTTATCTGATATTTGTATCTAAGTACGGGCAAAAATAAAAATGTAGGCATTTGTGAAATTTTTGAATAAATGTACAAATGTCGATAACTTTGTAGGAAAACAAAAGCACGGCATGCCGATATATTCGTCTAAACAGTAACACGACTTTTTTTGTTTAGCTTAAAGGATTTCCCGCCAAAATTCAGACCAGATCCCAACTTATCGATGTGTTGAAGCGGATTGTGTTTATTCCTGTCCAACACCACTCTGTAAACTATCCTGTTGTGTATTATGCTGGTTTTGTTCCAAATTTACCCAGCAAACTTTACGAAGATCCCCGAGTTCCACCACAAGAATTTGGATTCAACAGTTTACCACAAGTTCATGTTGCTGCGGTAAGATCCAAACTATCTAAATAACAATGACATGTACAATATGCAAATTACCAATGACAGTGGCAGAAATGAGAAATGCAGCAAATTGAAGTAATGCAATAACGGCATTAGTGAAAGTCATCACTTGAAAATTATACCTTATACATCTTAAATCAAAACAGTAATATAGAGTAACACTCAAATGTCTTCTTTAGGAGCAACTCGCGTTATCCATGTCCCTGGGATCGATACGATATGACGTCTTCTTGGATTACGGCAAACACCTAAAAGATGATCGTGCCAAAGCTGTTGTAAACAAATATCATAATCACCTCATAGGAAGCATCAATGATGAAATTACTGCCAGAAATAAACGAAGATTTGCAAGCGGAAAGTTGAGTTATCCCTACCTTCTTCCAAAATGGATGCCGAATAGCATTCACACATAGTTTCAGAACTAAAAACAGAAGTTGATTTTACTCAATACTTAATATACAAAAGGAAACGCATATAGTGGTCAACTTTATGTATATTACCACTTTACGCCTTGTGGAAGCGAGCAAGTTTCGTTTAATTTAATCCGCTATAATCTGAAAAAAGATAGCGGCCTGTCAATCTCAAAAACAGTTTTTTGCGAATCAGTTTAAATCGGGTGTGATAACAATTTAAAAAATATTTAGCACGCCATCATGAATCTACCCAGGTTTGGCTTATTTTTTTTATGAAAATTTTGTGCCTGCAAAGTGACATCTTCTGCCAAAAATATCAAGTTTTCTTTTCCCGAATTAAAGAACTTAAAGAGGAGCATGGTGAAATCGACATTTCGATGTCTTTCGAGTTACAGTTATTTTTGTTTCTGTTCGCAAGAATACAGCTGGATACGAACATTAAAGGCACAGTAGCGCCTGTTGAGCGATGTATCTTATCAGATTTTATGGAGATATTACGCGAGCGCACGCTTGCAAAATGGCGGAAAGCATGTAGTTTTTAGACGATACTCACTGATACTCACGATAGTGATATAATCGGAGTGATATAATACTCCTAATCGCCGCCATAGTGAATTTAACACCGATTCACTTTTGATTTTGTTAATGTTCAAAATCAAAATATTAATCACTACAATTCATCGCTCAACAGGCAATACTGTGCCTTTGAATATCATCAAAAGAAAGCCAATTGAAATAAATTGATGCGGTAGGTGAAATATGTTTCAGCAGCCGATCTGAACTGTTTTTGAGTTCGACCCGCCGCCATTTTTTTTATTATATGGCAGATTGCATCTACTTTCATAATGAATAATCAAGTCGATAACTGTGTTTCCATTTGGAGTTAAACGTATCACGTGATTGAAACCTCATTATTCAATGTTTGCCCTTGGGTTGATTTTATTCATGGCTAAGTGGCTTCGTGTATTTGAGCGCCTAAACGATCAGGACTGATCAGATCGCTATCAGCTAAAAAGTATTTTAAAGTAATTTATATTATTTTGAAGTATATTTGATATTATGTACGGTATTGAATTATTTCATCTTTCTGATCTAAAACATTTTATTCTTCGGAATGGTAACTTCTACTAATTAACAATATAACCATTTCAAACTGATCTTATTTGAAAGGAATTTTAAATAAAGTCGACTTTTAGAAAACGTTTTTACCAATTCTTCGAGAGATGGAATTCGGTCCTGCCCCAGGACTAGTCATTCTTACTCAGGAATTTCTTTGCGTATACGGTACCTATCGAAATTAAAGCATTGGTTACATGTTTCAGTATGTTCTTGCTGTTTGCCTTCATAAGTGTAGGTAGTGTTAGTGCCCTGTTTAGGAAAGTTTTGGCCGTGCTTACTTTACATTGCTGGTCGTACTATTAGTATGCATGCTGGGTTATAGTACATGTCAATTGAAAGAGAACCATTGAATTTTGTCACGTGTGAGTGTGACCAAACTAAGGCGTCTAAACGTAGTAGTAGTTCCGTAAATCAATATGATTTTATGGCACTTCACTCGATTTGGAAACTTTTCTAGAGGGTTGATGTGTCTAGTACACACTGGATACTACATAAAATCATGTCGATTTACCCTGAACCCATTCGCAGGCATTACCACCCTAAAT